GCAGGTGGCGTGCAAGCCACAACGGCTGTCTAGCTTACCTGATTACCCTGAACACGGCTGCTGCTACTATGTTCATTCGGTTAAGGTGACACCTGTTGCACTCGAACCTTATCACCCGATACTGTTTTTTGATAATTTTCTGGAGCACCCCTGAAGGTAATCTGTTGACCAGTTTTCTGTTTACACTCGCTCTGACCTGGGAATCTTCCGACCCCCTACTACCGGCAGCAACTTTTGTCTTCGGTGTACATTTGCATAGGAGGCCATATCCACTCTTGGCGAGGAGTATAACCGGTTACTTTAGTTTGGGTTCCCCTGTTTTGTTCTCCTCTTTAAACTTAGAGATGTTGGCACTGAAAGAAGTATCTGGTGTGATTCTCAAGTGTCCTTAGTGCTGAGTTTCACCCTAGGAGCCCTTCTCAGAAGCAGGTTCCTGCTATGAGTACTATGGGATACGATAGACAGTGGGCGTACCTGTTACCACACTCATTGCCCAACGAATATGACCAAAGCCCTAAACATTTTTATCACCATCGGCAATCTATATGAACGGTGCTTGATTGCATCCTGTTCTCGGAACGCGTCGTCATCCAACGGACGCTACTATAAAGAGTTCCACGTCAACTCTAAGCCGGTCAATCAGGATTCAGTCGCATGAAGGCCCTCCCCCGCAGATTAGTCTATTGGCCTAATATAGACCAGCACCTCGAAGAACTTGGATTCTTCGGCTTCAAATGTGCCCAAGCATCCAAGGTACTTGTCAAGACCAACAACCACAATTGAATGAAACCAATAGCTCCATGGTCATCGGGGTCCACTGATTTTGCCGGGCCATGCAATGAGCACCATTCAGTCGTTTTGGTTACCTAATGAAAAGATGGTCGCAAAGTTTCCTAATGGAACGCGCAACCACTGAAACCACCATCAGTGTCCTCCGTATCCTGTACAACAGGTTTGGGTCCCAGATATGTTGATAAGTGACACTGACTGTAAGTCCCAAATAGACCAACGAGTAACGCGAAGCCGAAATCGAATAAAAATGTCAACAAAAAGATTGACCTGAAAAAATTCTATGGTACCGCAATAGTAACCGATCGAATAAGCAAATAAATTATGAACAAACCTCAAGGGTGATTTCAGAAAACAAGAGTCAATTATTCCTGCGAGCGTAATTCAAGGAATATAAACGAAATAAACGAACATGAACAGGAATAGCACCCTTACTGTCACGCTGCACTTGAAGGAGTCAAAAGTGCGCTGCCAGGTTACGAGGAAAACAATAAGGTTTCGGGTGAGGGACAAACAAACGTCGAATAGTGGGGTTGACGAGTAAATATACAAATGTGATAGAACGTCAAAGTGCATATGTGTGTACGAGGCGAATGGTGTTGGACGCATTAAACATTAAAATCCTGAAGTGGGATAAAGACTTGTTGGTCCTAGTTTATGGGAAGTTTTTTCACAGACCAATACATACCTCGGCAGTCACTTTCTTTCTGCGTTCAGTGAACGATCCGTAATCAAGCACGTCCGTGCGCCGCCTTACCACTTCGTGAATATCTTCAAACGAGCACTTCAGAAATCCAAACGAGAGGATACCCCGGAAGCAGTCTAGGGCACCACCAAATCCCAATGTCCCAAAGGGTGCGTCTCCGGATGAGGTAATTTTTGGAAGAAAAATCCTTACATCATTTGACTCCCGGAGCGACACAGCAACCAGCCCATGGAAATCTCTCACCCAACAGTAACGGAGCTACAGTTCAATCAGCGCCATTGTATGCCGGACCGCTCGTTTGTTAGGAAACAGAAAACTTTGTCGGTGGACTACCGGAATAACAAAGAAAGGTGGACGCTTGGTCAAGTGTATAGACTCCGTGGAAAGTGGTCTACGAAATCGTTGTTGGTTCCCAAGTGTGGGTGCGGCACGCGAACCATCTAAAAACGACAAACTTAACTCTGAACCAAACCTGTCGTTGAAAATATTGATGGACACGTTTGCCGTGCCACACGTGAGCCACCGAAACCAGTACATTCAGCGAAGATAAAATGTCCCCGCAATCTGGTCAACTGACGGGTCGCAGGCGCACAGTAAAAGTACCGTTCCAAATGAACCCGAGTTTACGAGCCTATAAGAATCGACCGAGCTAAAATGAGAGGTTGTTAGGACGGAACTCAAACAACCCGTTAGGTCGCGCACACCTCCGAATAAGGCCAATTGCATGCTCCCAACGTACCGAGCAGGCTGAGTCCGGATTGGGTGACTGCAGAACGAGTCAGCCCATGTTTGTCTGACCGATTAACAGACATGTCAACGACGCAATCTGATTGGCTCGTCACTGAGCCGTTCTCGTATGCGTGGTTTATTCTACATATTTACGTATCGAGCTCTTATACAAATAAAATATACACGCTGACTGTTGTCTCCAATCGTGTTCTCTCCGCGTTGGTTTTGAGGGTTAGGCGAGCGTCACCCATGTCGTTCGTACTTCTAGACAACCAAACAACGTCCACCCACGGAAAACTGAAGTCTCATAAAATCAAGATTTTTCGACCCTTTCCTCTGTCTTCATCTGCCAAGATCAGTAGCTGATAATCAAACGCCTATCTTCACTAGGAATGCGGTATAGCACAAAAATTTTTTTCCCCATTGTTGACTTTTATTGTCACTTCCAAACTCTGTAAGTTCGAGGTAGAAATTTTGATAAAATCCCCCTGCTCATGGTGGTCCGCTACNGCCTTCTAGTCTGTCCCTAGTCGGGTCTCTTTCGCTGGTTATGGAATAGTGTTGTAGTTAGCACTCGGACACAGAACTCAGCGATGGAATAGAACTGTAATAAGCGGAAATTCAGAATGTACAAGGATATCGTGTTCAATAAAACAAAAGAGTTCATAGTTTATGAGCAATCACCACATAGGCCGCAGCTTGAATGAAGCTCCGGTTTTCGGTAATTACGGCGGGCTTTGTTGCGTAATCGTTCAGATCTTCTGGGTTCTTTAGTACCGTATTCAACATTTGTTCTGGGGTGTAATCCCTCTGGAAAAGACTCAGAATTAAAAGGATTATTAAGTTCACAACTATTATCAGGATTGGGCCATTTACAAATTACTTGGTCTGCATGTCTACGATGTAAGGTATCATCGTCTAGATCCAATATGCGACATACTCTTTGTCCCATATTGTCCAGTACAATGCCTCTGGAGGGTCGTAAATCGTTACAACGATGATACATGGCTTCCGCAGACTCCAAGTGTAGAAGATTGGTTCGAAGTACTCGACTGTTGTATAGCTTTGCTAGATTGTGCTCCGTAGTTGAATGTACTGCGTTACGGTATTTCATCGGAAAGTTATCAACGCCTCTGTCCAGTTCATCGAATGTACTGAAATTCAAGGAAGCAATGGCACTCTCCACCGTGCGCACAACTTTTTCGTCTGCGCCACTGGATTTCGGATTTCAGGGTGGAGTGAGAACATGCCGACAACTCACGGAGTTCAACCAATAAATAACTTTCTTGGCAGTGAAATGATTTCCATTGTCAGTCAAGATAGTATGCGGGACACCTCTACTGGACGTTTCGTGAGTGCTCGAATAGTAAATTCTGAACTGGGAGTTGTGGTAAAATACACTGCTGGCCAACGGAAATAGGATCCGATGATCACCAATACGTAATACTTGTTGAAGAATGGACCACAGTAATACAAATGTATTCTTTGCCATGACTCGGACGATACTGGCGACGGAGTCCATTTCGAAGGCTGTCTATGAGTTTTGTGCAAACAATCAGCACAGAATTTTGCAACACGATTCAGATCATGATTCAATGTAGGTCACCAGCATGTGAGACGAGCAAGAGATTTCATCTTTTCGATGCCGAGATGACCGTAATGTAAGTCATTGAGAACAGCAGTACGTAATGTCGGAGGTACGATAATGCGATCGTTGTAGCACAAGACACCGTCAAACGTCACAGAACTTTCTTCACAACCTTTATAGAATTCCGGAAATCGACGCTTGATATCAACTCACCTACCTGGACGGACATAGGAAATGATAGCCTGGTAACATTTCCTGGTCTCATGAACTAGATCAGATCGGCTTACCGGGAGCGGTTGAGTGAGTAGACAATCACCCGTAGAAGCGGCCTCTGAAATGGCGTAGCGTGATAGATATTCTGTATGCGCAGTGGACTGCGCGCTACGATGATGGATATCGTAGGAATGGGCAGACAACGCAATACTTCATCGTTGAACCATGGCTGCAGATGACTTAGCCAGGGAACTTTGAGGGTTCCAAATGAACTGCAAGGCTTCATGTTCAATCACAATAGTGAAATGAGTACCATGAAGATACTGTAGCACACGCGTGACAGCCCAATAGACAGCTAGAGCTTCTCGTTGAGTTTGATAATACCCACGTTCGGCAGCCGTGAGTCTGCGTGAGATGCACAGCACCGGATGACCATTCTGCTCCAACACAGCTCCAATTCCAACGGGCGGGGAGTCCGTGATGACTGTAATCGTGGGGAAAAAGGAGGTAAAACAGCACTGGTGGATAGAAAGGAAAGTAACTTCTTCAAGGCACGTTCGTGGACCGAAGTCAACTGAAATGTTTGTTGTGACTGTGAATCAAACAATGGGTTGAAAAGTTAGGAATAAACTTGGAATAGTATTGTAAAGAACCAATTAAAGATCGAAGTTCGTGGAATGACTTCTAAAACGGAGCATTAGTCAACGAAGAAAATCGATTAGGGTCAGGACGGAATCCGGATGCATCAACGAAATAACCTAAACAAGTCGTAGCAAAGGCACATTTATCAGAGTTAATAGAAACATTATGAGAACGAAATCATTCAAGCAAAGCACACAAGCGTTCGTCATGTAAGTGTCTGCTAGGAGCATGGACAATAATATCACCATAATAGGCACAAACACCTTGTAAACCAGAAATGATGGAATTAATAATAGTTTGAAAAATAGCGGGGAGACACTGATTCCAAAAGGTAGAAAGTTGCAGCAAAATAAACCAAAAGGTGTGTTAATAGTCGTGAGTTCACGAGACTTTTCATCTAGAGGAATTTGAAGAAATGCATCTTTCAAGTCTAGATAAGAGAAAATTTTGGATCCACGAAGTTGGTGCAGAATGTCGTCAGATTCGACGGTGGCACAACTGGACTAAATCAGCTGTGTGTTTACAACAACTCGATAATCCCCATATATCTTAGAAGTCTTCCCGTCACGTTTCAGTGGAGTAACAACTGGCGTGGCCCAAGCAGAAGACTTTACAGATGTCAGAACTCCGTTGCTTACCGTTTCGTCTAATGTTTTTCTTACGGGCTCACGAAGTCCAGGTGGGATAATCTGATGTTTCATGAATACCGGAGAACCGGTCGCTTCTAGACTCACAGGAGTCATTTTGATACCACCCTTTGCCTTGGAACATTCAAGTACTAAGTGACGAAGGCGTGATTGATGGGAGTCAGACATGAATGAAATGACACATGCATACGATTCATGCAGTTGAAACCAATTATAGAAATGCCGGAATCAATAAACAAAAAACGGGCAGTGAAATGTTTGTGAAGAAGCAGTTTGCTTGATCCTAAGACGGGCAAAGAATGACAGATAATTCCTTAACTGAAATGTTTGTTGGGGAAAGTACAACTAGGGGGTTTAACTGACGAAATACTTTGTTGGAAATCAAAGAATCAACACTACCGGTGTCCATGATGAATTTCTGGTGAATGGAGTCATTAATAATGAAGTCGCGAGTAATATGGTGAGAGGGACGTGAACTGGTACTGGCTAGAGTTACGAACTGTAAATCACACAATAAGTCTTTAGAGGAATGAACAGCCGTACTTTTTGTAAGATACGACTCCGCACTTTTACACACAGATTGAATATGGCCCAGCTTACCGCAATTGTGACACTTGGCATTACGAAATCCACAGGTTAGCCGCGAATGTCTTTGACCACAGGAATTGCAATTGTTCGTTGAATCCTTGGTCATTGTGGGCTGGAGAACCAATAATGCTTAGTGTTCTTGAGCCCTTTTCGAAAAAACGCTTTCGTCGGAATGGTGACTGTTTGGAATTGCTGGCATTTAACAACAAGTTGAGTTCATCACAAATAATGACACGGACGTCTTGGTACTGCTCACAGACTGCCTTGGCCGACTGAAATGTGCAATCATGCATGAGCAGGAGCTTTTGCCGTAATTCCGGGCAATTAATACCAGCAATCGATCACGTAACTGGGTTTGCAATTGATCTCCGAAGTTACAACGAGATGCTTGAGTCTGAAGCTGAAGAATAAAGTCACGTACAGGTTGGTTTCCGACACGTGTGAGTGAATGAAATTTGGCTCGCTCACAAGCTTCAAAATTAGCGGGTTGTAGGTGCTTCAGCAGCAAGGTTTTCAGGGATTCACACGAAAACAATATAGGCGCGTCATGAAATGCCAAATTCTTCAACAGTGAATACGCATCCTTTCGGATGACCGTTAGGAAATAAGTCGTTTTGCGTTCTCCATCGAGTCCTTTCCGCGTAATACACCAAATCTCGAATCGTTCAAGATAATCTTCGACTTCGACTTCGTTTTCCAAATTACAGGACTCTATTGGTTCAAAATGACCGCGACGCCAATTGTTGTGGTTATCACTCGGACTAGTAATTCGTATACGCATCGGAATCCGCGCAATAATAGTTCAACCCGGAACTAGGACTCGAAACGAAATCAAAACACAGAGCTCAGCGATGGAATAGAACTGTAATAAGCGGAAATTCGGAATGTACAAGGATGTCGTGTTCAATAAAACAAAAGAGTTCATAGTTCATGAGTGATCACCACAAATAGTTTCGCGGTATTCGACATTTGATGTTGTCAATGAAATAAAACCAAGTTTCCGATATGTCGATACTTGCCACAACTTTTGGTCTCTTGTTACCCAAGCTCCCAGGAATTGTATGTACCACGCGGAAACCTATCCACTCTCCTGACCCCCTCTATCGGGATTTATACCCATGCATTGCTGTAGTTGTCAAAGTAGGCACAGATTACAAAACAGGAATCACGAACGCAAATGAAATACTGAATCGCACTGGCAGTTGTACGTTGGAATCTCCCTTCATTGAGACGCAGGAAAAAAACAACAGTTTGTTTATTAAAATAAATCAATGGGATTATATAACGTGCTCCAAGGAAGTTTATTGGTTTTACAAGTATCCACCAATGACCTCCTTATATTCTTGACGTCCTCCAACTTCTGTCTGAACTGCACCATTTCTAATTGATCCGCATGATTGGCATGTGGTTTGTTTTCCAGAAACTGTAAAGCGCCGCTCTGTGGTTGGCATTATCCAGTAGGTTAGGATGCGTCCCGTTTTTGGGCTACCCGCCTGTGTTTCTACCCTCGCCTGTCCTCTACTTCCTATTCGATTTGTTTGCTCATTCCTTGTTAGCGTGCTATTAGCTTCTGGCTTTCATGCGAACCTTATCGACAATGCCTTGCGTTTTGCGACGCCCCCATCCTGGTTGTTGTGGCTACCATTTTTTATATCTCCATGAGACACCTCGAGCTAGGCAGTGGTAGCTGCGTGGTGACTATAACGGGTATGCTAAAACCTGGTGACTGGTGACTTGTGGTTTCTCGAGTGTCCGATCGTGTGGGCTTGTCTTCTGTGGTTATGACGATACTTCCAGCAGTCTTACCCTAGATCATCCTAGCGGTTGCAAGAAGACTATCTCTGTGTCTTGGATTAGCGAATCCCACCAAGGTTGGTCTTCGTGTTCTTGTATTTGTCGCGTCTTCATGGCGCCATTTACCAAGTCTCATGGAGCGCCTGACCGTTGCAGGACCTGGGTTTTCGGTTAATCGTAATAGGTTGCCTAAGTGGTAGCGCATTCTCTTCTGTCTTGTCCGCCTTTGCTTCATAAAGGGTTCTCGAATATCTTCAATTGCTACGTTGTGGTGCCTCCTGAGGGCCACGTCGCTGCACTTTCCCAGCTGCGTGAGTGTATCGCTCAATCTGGCTTGTTTGGCTCCCAGCACCCCCACTCTTTGAGTGAGTTTACTAAGCTCGCTTCCTCTTCCGGTTTACCTCTTCCACTGTGTTCTACAGTTTGTAAAACATAACAGCAATACGATTAAGCAAGATAATATATCACATTAATGTGTCACTCATTCTGAAACCTTAAAATTCATTCTACCATAGTTCATATTCAGGAATTTATAGAGATTTATTCACCAAAAAGACGTTCAAGTGATCCATTTTAAAGGTCAATGTTAGGGGTACCAATGGTCAGCAGGTAAACAGTGTCATTGACCTTGACCTTTTATGA